ATCAGACTGTTCGAAATATACTATCCAGATGTAAGAAACTTCTGGATAAGATATATCTTCTAATAATTCTATCCAAAATGATTGAATTATTCTGCACTCGAGCCAGCAGCTGCCAAACGAAAGCACGGTGTCACTCTATGAAGCCGTTAACTTCTTGTTTGTTTGAGTTTCACGTCAAATTATTAGAAATGTTGAAAACAATTACTTGAGAAATATTGATGAAATCAACTATAATCCAATATAAAGTGAAAACGTAAAAAGTAAAACGATTATTTGATTAAAAAGGTTAATTGTGATTCACGACATAGCGCCACCATTTCGCAATGTCTTCTTAGATGAGTTACTGCCTCATCTTCAACCTGCTCTACCCTACTGGTCACGGCTTCCCACTAGAACCACAGGTTAACTGCCTGAATAGGGCCGGTCACTACTGAGCATCAGACTAATTTTCAAGTATTGGTTTTGTAGGGATTTTGTTTGATTGCATGAAGGATTTCACCATGAACTGACATCAGTTAGAGAACCACTGGGAAACCTGGGAGTACTGGACAGCTGTTTCGTCCCAGTTTGGGACTCTTTATCAGTACACACCCACCGGGATTCGAACCCAGGACCTTCTGGTTACAAGGTGAGCTAGCTCGTAGACCATTAAGCCACTCACTGGGACCCGATCTAATGGTCCTTGAATTCTAACTTCTGCCAATTCACGACATAGCGCGACCGCTAGCCAATGTCTTCGGCGAGTATTTGTCCTCACACCCTATCTGCTGCACCCTACTGGTCACGACTTCCCATTATAACCCCAGGTAACTGCCTGAATAAGTCCAGTCGCTTGTGGCCACTGTGAGTGCTGAAGAGTCCCAAACTAGGACGAAACAGCTGTCCAGTACTCCCAGGTTTCCCAGTGGTTCTCTAACTGATGTCAGCTCATGGTGAAATCCTTCATGCAATCAAACAAAATCCCTACAAAACCAGTATTTGAAAATTAATTGTGATTACCTTTCAAATATTCACATCAATCAGAAATGTATATCACATAATTTTATAATTCATTTTGTTGATACTAATGAAAACATGTAACAGTTTGAATGATACAGTACAAAGAATTGTACTGAAAGAAACAGCGTTTACAAAAAAAACTGGCAATCGAATCGTAACTGGCTACTGTGTTCTTATTTCCAGTTGTAAATTTTTCAGACATCCGCCTAAATTCCTATTTGCCAGTCTGTATCCATATTTTACACCCGTACTCATCTTACACACTGTGTATATTTCAATAATCCTCAAAGTAAGTAGTTGAGCAAATACATTGGAAGGACAAAAATGTGGAAATCCATTTGCTTGCTTCTTTGAACACATTCCGTGACCAGTAGGGTACAGCAGGTTGATGATGAGGTAGTAACTCATCGAAGACATTACGAAGTGGTCACGCTATGTAGTGAATTGACAGAAGTTAGAATTCAAGGACCATTAGATCGGGTCCCAGTGAGTGGCTTAATGGTCTACGAGCTAGCTCACCTTGTAACCAGAAGGTCCTGGGTTCGAATCCCGGTGGGTGCGTACTGATGAAGAGTCCCAAACCGGGACAAAACAGCTGTCCAATACTCCCAGGTTTTCCAATGGTTCTCTAACTGATGTCAGCTCATGATTAAATCCTCCATACATTCCTTAAAGTTTAAAACTCATAAACCTCAATTTTCTTGCTAGTCGATATCGAATCGACTCGAGACACAAAGTTGAAATTGAAACTGCTTTTACTATTATCTACAAAAAATGAAATTGGACTTCACTTCGATTTACTAAATTTGTTGCCATCAAGCAACTCAAATCATGCTTGTGTATGCAGAACGAAACAGTAATCAAATTCGGTCTACCCTGGTTAAAACTTTTGCAATATTATTATTGTTATTACTATTATGTTTTACCTAACCCATTGATCTTAACTCATCTAACTGATCGCATATTACTTCCAAATGCTTACTTTTATGATACTAAGCAAACTTCTCCTGTATGTTACTGTTGAGTTAGTATTTTCGTTGTTAAGTCAACTACCAAAACTTCTTGAATATTTTTCTTAACTTATGATAAATAGCCGACTTCATTTTTGTTCCATTTGTAACTGATTATTAGGCTATCCCATTTCTTCCATTGTTGTCTCCTTAAACTACAATCTTCATGATAAAATTCGGCTAATAAAAATTGCATTTTCTTACTGCTTTACTACAGTGTGTATTTTAGCCTGTCAGTTGTTGGAGAAAGGCCTCGCAATTGAATGTGCACATTTATACTTCAGTGCGTCGGTGGCACAGAGGTAGAGTACTCGCCGACCACCCATATGATTCAGGGTTCGATCCCCGGGCGGTGCACTCCTTTACCTCACTAAGACAGTAATAAGACTGGTAAAGAGGGAAGGCTAGGCATGAGGCTAGCAACTCCATCCTATAAAAAATAATCACTAGTGCTACAGAAACTTCAAGCCTGTAGCTTTAAGGCGCCCTATGTTCCACTGGGAACGTAAAGGAATACATAATAATAAATAATAATTTATACTGCAAATTTCTGCCTTTCTTGCTATCACGAAGTTTCTCCATCATAGTTTAACAACACATTTTATGTTGTAGTTAAATGTGACAAGGGAAAACAAGACATTCAGTTGAAGCACAACACACTTGTGTCAGTTTAATATTCTAGTCACCTTGTATTATTACACTTTAAAGCCTTGTTCTGTTAATTTATTTGGATATATTTAGTGACGGTGGTTATGACATTCAAATTATTTTGATAATAATACGTGTTACACTTAGAAGGAAAAAGTATCTCATAACTTTCTGAACTAAAATTGGCCTGATTTTAGAGTAAATAGTATGTTTTTTTTGGGTGATGATAGTTCACAGTGAAATCCAGGATACTTATTTAATCCTATTTGGGACTCACTAGCTAGATATGCCTGCATTTACAGTGAGTGATAATTTTCCCACATCCTAGATTCCATAGGTAGTCATCATCAACCAATTAACAGTATATTAATCTCCAGATATCGTCGAAGCACGTCTACTTAGATTTGACATGTCAATTGAGACCAATTATTTTAGTCCAGTATAAATAAGTCAAATGGAAGTATAAAATTAACATAAACAAATAAGAGTAGACTGTGGTTGAGTATGCGTAGTATGTAATGAGAGTTGATATTGACAGCCTCTGGAAAGATAACAGCTTAGCGTAAGAATGCATGTGTGTTACAGCTGCTAATAAATACCCTTCAATAGATTTTAAAATGTTATATAGAAAACATTTCTAGAAAAAAGGTATTTTTCAATTGCACTACTGAAAACTGCATTCCTAGTACAAATTCCTGAGGCTTTTTATTGACAAACCCCATAATATTATTACTATTGTTTCCTTTAGTTCCTAGAGGAACATAAGGCTTCAGCCGCACGTCTCCATTACCTTCGGTTCTCCGCCAACGTTTTCCCCTAGCTTCACGTCTGCTCACACGCTTTCATCTCCTCTTCGTATGACCTCCTCCATGACGACCAACTCGCCGCTTCCCATTCGGGTTCCACTCGAGCGATGGCCTGTGATGTCACTCACTTTATGGCTTGTTTTCACATAGCATGGTCAAATCACCTCCATTTCTTCTTAAATATTTGTTGAAAAATTGGTTCCAACTGGGTCGGTCTGTTTATCGCCAGAGATCCCAGTTGATAACCTTTTCTGGCCGTCCATCTGATCTTGAACGAAGTACTGAGGGAAGACAGCTGTTGATGAACGTCTGTAGTTTGTTCGAAGTGCCCTTCTTGACGCTCTGGCTAAGTCTCTGATTCGTATAGTGGCACTGACTTCACATTGGAGTTGTAAATTCGTATCTTATATTTCATGCTGAGTGTTGTTGATCTCCACACAGACTTGAGAGTAATGAAAACTTGCCTTATTTTCCTCATCTTCGCTTTGATATTCTCATCATTTCTGTCCAGCTGTAGTTGAAACGATGCTTCACAGGTAGGTAGGTGGGAAAGGAGGTTACTTCTTTCAGATTTCTCCCATTTATGCTAGCTGGTTGTTGTCTGTTGTAGTCGCTGTTGCTGTTGGCCGGGAATAATCATCACTTCTGTTTTCTCTGTGTTCACCTGAAGGAAGTCCTATCTTTGATGCCTTCTCTGCTAACTTGTTGCTTCTCACTTGCTCATATTCCAGTTTGTGGGAAATCAGACACATACCATGGGTGAAATCCAGGTTCTCCAATGTCTTCGTGTGAGCCCATTTCATACCTGTCTCCTTGTTGCCCACTGTCTGTAGCATTACCCAGTCTACCGCAATCAGGAGAGTCATTGGAGATAGTAGGCAGCCAGACATCCTTGTCTCACTCCCGTCTTCACTTCGAAGGAATCTGTGAGTTTCCCTTTGTCAATTACTTGGCGTGCAGCATTATCGCACAACTGTCATACTCACAGTATAATTGTCGGAGGCACCCCGTAGTGGCGAAGTTTATATATATATTAATCTATCTCTACTCTTTCATAATACAACAGCAAAGTAGAATATTTAAAATTCCCTTACTTTACACATTTAATGGTAATTTAAATCAGCATAAAATGGCGATCAATTGAAATATAAGTGATATCAGATTACCTAATTAGATTATTCTTTTACGTTCCCCCTGGAACATAAGGTGCCTTCAAGCTAGAGCTTTGAAGTTTCGGTAGCAGTGGTGTTTGTATTCACGGATTGGGGTTGCTAACCTCATGCCCAACCTTCCCTCTTTACCAGCTTAGTGAGGTAAGGGAGTGAGTGGGCCAGGGATCGAATCCCGGACCACATGAATTGTTGACGATCATTCTATCTTTGTGCCACCGACGTTCAGAAGCAAATATTATTCGACGAAAAATAAAGAGGAATGCATATCAAATAAGCCAGAGATACGATAACAGTCCAAGTATATGTATAAGAATAAAATTATAAAGGTTGCATAAAGTATATATACGCGTATGCGCAGTACCTACCGTGTATTCTCCTTTTCCTTGTCTCTAGAAATGAGGATAATTGATCCAATTATCAAAAGACATAATCCAAATACACACAACGTCAAGCTTGAGAATATCAGTCTTCTAGAAATCATATTACTTTCAACGTGTACGTATAACTCCAGGATAGTTTAGAAACAATGTGATAAAGTATTTAACTTTATCATAATTACTAATGCCCCTTTCCCCTGTATTGTATTTAACAAAACTTTATTTTATTAAGGAGAATTTAAGCTGTACAGTCGTATATATATGATCACGTGTTCATAACATTTCCAAATCATCACTTTTCGGTCGATAACATATGAATGTTGTCGTCTGTATATATATATATTGAGACTTTTCAGTTAAGTATTTTTATTATAATGAATAAATAAATAAATAGTACGAAGAATGTTGAAATATTTTTACGGATGCACTGGAGTTAAAAGACATTGGAAACCATCCAGAATGGCTGACTTGCATTCAACGTAAACAGAAAGTTACATTTACTGAAAAAGTATGTCTGAATCATGCAAAGAAAGTTGTCAATGCGAAGAGAGATATATGATGCAGTAAATTAGCAATTTACTTGAAAAGTGTGATGATACAAAAGTACTTTCAATAGCAATTATCCATTTTCTGTTTGAAGTGAAGTGAAGAGAGAGTACAACTCAGAACAATGTAGTAGTCATACGGCGTCAGACTGACAGAATATATCAGGTAGATATCTTAAATTTCTACAAAACCAATACTTGAAAATTAATCTGATGCTCACTAGAGATGGGCATATTCAGGCAGTGACATGGAGTTCTATTGGGAAGCCGTGACTAGTAGGGTACAACAGGCTGAAGATGAGGCAGTAACTCATCTAAGAAGACATTGCGAAATGGTCGCGCTATGTCGTGAATTGACAGAAGATAGAATTGATGGACTGGCCATTGGACCGAGTCCCAGTGGCTCAACGGTCTGCGAGCTCGCTAGCTTTGTAACCAGAAGGTCCTGGGTTCGAATCCCGGTGGGTGCGTACTGGTGAAGAGTCCCAAACTAGGACGCAGGAGACGACTGACCAATATTCCCAGGTTTTCCAATGGTTCTCTAACTGATGTCAGCTCATGATGAAATCCTTCATGCAATCAAACAAAATCCCTACAAAACCAATACTTGAAATCTTAAATTCCCTCAAGAAAGTAAACAAAAAAATCAAAAAAGTAAAATGTATTAACAACTACACATTGTCTTTACTTATTTATAATTAGTTAGTTAGCATGGCAATTTCCTGATGAACACAACATATTGGTAAAAGTCAGTATAATGATATGTAGAGATATATGTAAAATCTATAGTGCACCTTGAATGTTTTGAATTTTTGTTTTAACTCATACATTCTAATGTTCACGACTGGTTTTAGCATATACACGTACAGACTGGCGACAACGCCATTTTGTCGTGCTGTCTGCTTATGTAATGGACAGTTGCATTTTCTGAGTCGGTTGTACAGCCTTTCAAACTAGGTAAGCGATTATACCGTTTTCCAGAATTATCTTGACTTCTTTTTGTATTCAGATGTACTGCTTGAAAGAACACATTACCATTTATCAGTCTTTTTTATTTTCGCCTTGTCAACAGTACTTACAATATAGGTGGAGTACTGATCTATCGAACACCAGGTAAACTTCATCCAGTATCGCTGGCATCGTTAAGCTTGTCTATCACATTACCAGCACTCTACAAATCCATTTAACTTATGGGTAAGTAATACATCCAAGTAAAAACATATTATGATAATACTAGTAATCATTTTTATTTCTGAAAGAGATTCCTAATCCTTTAGAAGCAGAATTCTTTTGAAAAGCCATAGATTTGCAGTCATACAACACGTAAGACAAATGATTTAATTTGTGTGACCGATTAAGTTTGTAAAGTTAGCTTGGAGATGTTTGTAGGTAATGGCAAGCAGAAAGACAAAGTTTTCAATGATTATTACTTCACCTTAGAGTAGGATATCATAATGCAGATTGTCCATCTCTTTTACTATAAATAAAAAGACCCAGTTTAACTAAGATATTTTTATTTACGGAAAACTCGTAAAAGTTATATTATTATGCATCAAGTTTATTTCTTATATATGCATAATGATAATTATTTCCGTAGACATAATATTATATGCAATGTGAATAAAACACAGGAAGACAGGACAAGTGAGCATAGATGAAATTCTACTTTTTACTGTCTACCGTCTCTGATGAATGTGGTTCGTTTATTAGGTCCATGTTTGTCCTACTTATTCTCGAACTCCTGTTGGGGATGACTGAGGAAATTGTGCAAACAGAACCAGGAACGTAGTTTATTGACTCAACAATTAGCTTCATGGTGACACTTAGACTAAGTTTTGACTTTTAAATTACTGTAGCTTTCCCTTGTTCACTTGAGCCTAATAGTAATGCGGCGATATTATTCACTATTGCAGATGACTTTTACTGTGCAAATAAATATCCGTTGTGCTTGTTATATTATGCATAGTCATTGGTGTGGCACCTCTTTGAGTCTAAATTTTCCAATGATCCACTTTCCCAAAGCTTAAAGTATGCATTTTGGTTCCACGTTGCTTATATTGATAAATTGCTACGTTTGGTGTAGTACGAAGCATGGAGGATTAGTGTCATTTGCGTGTACACAATTGAAGTCAGATCAACGGCAAAGATGGTTTCAACTTTTCAAACAAATATAACTTTTATTGTAGACTGCTGAAGGGTTCGATTTCACACGATTTATCAGCCAAGATTTCTTCTATCATCTCGTCCCACTTCATCTATGTAAGATTTTACTGGATTTCCGGTGATGTGGAGGGGCAGTAGCTTTTAATCGAAAAATGACTTCAAGGGTCTGATAATAGTGATGATTTGAATAATTGCAGCAATCATCACTGAAAATTGGCTGTTGACCATCACTGTTTTAGTCGATTTGTTTAGCTGAAGGCTTCCGGCCAAGTACCCACGCCACTCGCCGCGCCATCGTGTTTCATTCGTTTGTTCGTTCGTGCACGACCCCTAAACAGTTAAGCAATCATCTCACACTCCTATTTGGTCCCGAAATATACTCCGTAATTTGGACGACTAATTCCGGTGTTTTGCTTTGCCTTTGGTCTACACGGGAAGAATACTACAGGAGTTGTGGGTATGATATATTGCATCAGTGTACATTGTACTATCCGTGAACATCAACATTGTCTGTTTGTTGGTGAAACGGTAGTTTGGACGCTGGCCGTCAATGCACGTTGTCCAGGATTCAAACCCCGTCTAAACATACCCAAATCAATGGTTGGCCCGCTTAATTTGTTCTGCCGGTATCACATACTGAAAATTCCATATCTTTAACAAGTACTGTATGAAACCACGCTATAATAAATAGTCAATCATTGGCAGATCTGAACAGTAGTGAACACATGAATAATGAACATTTCATCAAACACTTCAACAAAATCGACACGAGGACAGTGGTTCCACTAGTAGCATTCAACAGCGCAGTACCACTATGCACTGAGTTCTTTACGCTTCTGAGCATTTCTTTCATTTCTGGACAATATTTTGCATAAATTCATCAACGTTGAACCAGTATATATAGTCGTGAGCAATCAGTTTCATCCTTCCAATAACTGGATGTGAGGAGCGAAGGTGACACATGGCTGGCTAAAATGATCAGCTGAGAATGCAGTACAATCCTCAAATATTATGCAGTTGTTAATAAAGAACAATTCTCATCGAATACAAAGCTGTCCAAGACCGCATGAAGGAACATGCGAGAGCTAATTTCATCACATTAACTTTTGAACCTGTTTCAGAACTGGGGTACATTAACTGTAGTCACTAACCTTAAGTGTAGTCAGCGGTAGGGATTAGGTTACGTTCACCAGAATTTTATCTGTATGTTCTGAGCAGGAAGCGATGCAATCGCAGTGTTTATTTCTAAATTTCCGACAGTACAGAAGTTGTGGTAGAGTATCTACATGACTAAATTTGAAATCCGAGTTGTATCTGATATTAAAATCATGTACATTCTACATAACAGCGCACATTTGGGCAATGCCATAATATCCTTGCATGAACCAAATGTCGAAAACAAGTTTTTGGTTGACGAACACAGTAAATTTGCTGCCATGCAACATTTCGCGAGACTTTTGACTACACAATACATGCTGAACCTTCTATCTCAGTCTGGCTGTATTTTTGTCTAATTATATTCAAGGTTGTAAAGGTAGACGAAGTGGTTTCCTCAATCCCATTGATAAATCGGTGAGGTATAGAAGCGTTAGTAGAGAAATTTGATGCATATTTAAAAACAATGGTCTCTTGATTTAGATTTTAACAGTGAACGATCCCCCGAAATTATTATCCTAGTGCATTTATCACCCAACATTCCAAGCCCGTCTTCACTGCTTCATTGGACTCGTTTAGATGAAGGCTTCAGGTCAGACACCCATGCCATTTGCAACGCCGTCGCGTTACGTTCGTTTGTTCGTGCACGTACCCCAGCTGGTTAAGCAATTATCCAATATCCAATATCGTTTTTACGGGCTAGTATAAACCAATTTGATTTCTTTGTGCTCGCTTCTTGATTGTAAGGTATAGGTTCCTGATCTTCGGTAAACTTCTGCGTAGCTTGTCCCGCCACTCGACTGTCGTAGCTTTGGTTGACTCCAAAGGGAGTAGTGCTGGGATTAATTATATGTGGTTTGTAGTATGAGGTATGTTAAGACTGTTACTACTGTGATTGGAGTTGATCCTTTCGCCAGTTAGTCCTTCGGTATCGTCGACAAGAGAAAAGAGATAGTAATAATAATAATATTAATAATAATAGATATAATTAGTGAAGTTATTCAGACTAAGAGACAGAAACGAAAATAGGAAACGTAACAACAGTCAGCTCATCAAGTTTGAAGAATAATATATATCGGTAATAATAATAATTATTATAATATTAATAAGTTGTCAGGAGAGTAAGACGGGAGAGAATGTAAAGAAGTAAAACGACGAGTTTAATTATCTACCCTGATTGGTATATGCGATTTTAAGGAGATAGGCCATTTGGATGCAGTCCTTGTATCGCTGCATGGTTGTCCAGCCTTCGCTTAAAGGCGTCCAAAGACGGTGCCATAGCTACATCTGCCGGCAAGGAATTCCAGGGACGGCAAACCCGCAGTGAAAAGAAGTGGGAGCGCACCCGGGTCCTTGCCCTCTGGTGAGCTA